CCCTAACAGTTGGGTTTTAAGGACTAGGCTAACAATTTGTTGGGACTTTGGCCAAACTTTAGCCCACCCATAAATCCACCTATTTAGATCCTCAAGGGCTAGAGTTTAGCAACTAGTTGTTAGCCCAAGGGATCCAAACAGGGGCTAAGACTATCTCCAACAATGGCACCCAAAATATAAGATCCATTCGACGTTTGGGTAGTGCTACAGGCAAAGAGTTCAAGACTTATTTTTGGTCTTCTACAACAATAGGACCCAAAAGAGAACTCTTTCTGCAAAATGAGTCTCCAGACGAGAGGATGCTCATATTTGGGTTGTGCTTTTGCTGTCATCCAAAATGAGTCTTCCATATAGGTACTCTGTTGGAGGCCGATACAGTACCACCGAAGACCAATTTTAGGTTTTGGTGCCTTTATGGGTCCTCTATTGGAGACATTCTGAGTGGCCACAATAATCACGTATTTGGTCAATGGTAATGGGTCAACACAGACGATAACAGTCTGCATACTTGCAGCCCTACATGTGGCATGCAGCAGTTTCCTCCCTCGTCACTGCCTCTGCAACTTCTGTGCGACATCTCTTCTTTGTGGCGAAAAGACTTCTTCTTGTATAGAACACCTCTTTTGTGACGAAAAGACTCCTCTTCTTCCGCTCTAGCCTTCTTCAAAGCTGTTTTGGGTCATTCACGACTACCCATTGGCAGAATAAACATCTATACCTAAAACTATACCTGATAATAAAGAGGCAAAATTTCAGCCCATTTTTTGGTCCACTTAACCCTATATACCGGACAATGAAGAGAATCTTATGTTCAGATTTATATGATCTATTCTCATACGAGTTAGAATAGCTCGCGTCTAGCGATGATCGATACGGAGTCCGATTCCAAGACGTCGTGACAAATAAACTGACACGCCATATTTGCCATGTACTCTTTTCCTAGGTATGTATCGATTCTGTGAGAAGAAATGTTAGTTTATTGCAGTCAAAACTAAGCAAAACATTGGTTGGTTGGTTTGGGACTTCGCTGGGTGGTGTACGTGTGTTGGGGGAGGAGAAACCATACACCATACATGGCCATGGTGGTGTTGCTGGGACATTGCCATGGTGGTGTTGTTGGGACATTGCAGTGCAGCCACAGTCATATGACACACCACCAGTGCTCCAGTTGTTTGTCACGAAGCCTATAACCTATATTTGCACATAAATTGCCTAAGTTTAGGGTTTACCTACTCGGTTTCACCGTTTCGCACAGTAGGAAGAGAGAGAGAATAATGGGTGGGCATACCTGGTGGTTCCGAGGGAGACCTAGGCACTTTGTGTAGGTCTACGATGGCGGTTGCCAGTCGTTCGCTGGTAGAAATCCGTAAGAAACGAAGAAAAGGCAGGGTCACGCACTGGGTCCGAAGCTGTTTGAACTAAGGGTGAGTTTGTGTTTGACCCTGGGGCCATTGATGATGAACAGATGCTAGCGTCGTAGCCACAGTGTGCCTGCAGATAGATGTAGCATAGGACCACTGCCGGTAGGAGGTCGTCAAGGTGGGCTGAGGCAAACAAGGGTTGTTGGTTGATGGAAGTTTCTAATTTCCCACCTTCAAAATATTTGTTGCATCGAACTCCATTGAAGTCATAGAGTTTTTTGGACTGATTTTTTTTTTACTACAGAGAGTATCTCTACTATTTCTCTTGATTGGTAGAGTCTGTTATCCGGTCGCCTCTATAAATCAGATTTCTAGGGACAACTGGGAATAGGATTGGAGCCGCCTCTACAAATCAGATTTTTTGGGACGACTGGGAATAGGATTGCAGCCGCCTCTAAAAATTTAGTTTGTAAAGGTGGCTTGAAATACAGCCGGCTGAATTTTCGTGCAAAAAACACACACTTTGTGATCGCACCCGTGACCTCAGCCTTGCACGTAGCTCCTCTCACAATGACAATTGTGTCCAAAGGCATCATCTCCCCTCGTACTCTCTTTTTAGGATTTTGAAATGAGTATTTGGGACACTGAACAAATTTAAATGAAAAAGTTTTCAACTACAAAGTTGTAGATATCATCGAGATCTACAACTTTGGTTTTCATAGTTTCTCCACCGAGGTGGTTTGAAAATTTTAAATTTCAAATGTGAGAAATTCATCAAACATAATTTTTCTTGGATAAATGATTTCAAACAAAAAGGTTGTGAACTACAAAGTTGTATAACTCTTCAAAATCTACAACTTTGGTTTTGGTCATTTCTCCATTAAGATCGTTTGAAAATTTCAAATTTTACTATACTGCAGCTAATTTTACATACGACTCTAGATCTAGCCACCTCTATAAATCCATTTGTAAAGGAGGTTGTATCTAGAGTTGTCTTTTAAAGATAGGGGCAAATGTATTTCTAAAGGCAGCTGGCCTCTAGAAATGCATTTTTAGATGCGGCTTGATTCGTGAGCTATTTGTAGAGGCGGCTATAGATTAAACCACCTCTATTCAAAATAGGAGCCGAAATCATATCTGCAATTGTGTTAGCAGAATGAAATCCAATATGGCTATGTTTTCAATTTTCATTTTTTAAAATGTCAAACATTTTTAACATACATGTTCAACACTTTGAGGAATATATTTTTTCGAGGGCAAACTTCTGTAATATATTACCTCAGAATTTTAGATATACTATTTCGACAGCATTACCACACAAAGTACTGTACTAGTTTATTCAAAATGTTGAATTAGAGTTGAAGAAATGTTGAATCTAGTGTCTCAAAATCTTAAATGTACGTAGCCGGTGCTCTATTTTTTTGTATTTATTCTATGAACGGTGTCATTCGTTCAGTGATAGATAACGTGCTTGTCGACAGCGAGAGCCCGACGCCAATGTTAAGATCTGCTGGTTTATTCTTCAAAGGTACTCACAGGGATAACTAGGATGTGTGTACGTATGTGTTGCAATTGTACATATATGTGGGCGTCGGCAGTTGTACTGTGATTCACAAGAAAAGCTCGTTGTTTCCGTATATTATTTTGTGTGGAAGATGAGTGAATATCTCCAGCAGTGTTGAGGATAAACGAGAGCGAGAAGCGAAACCAAATGACCTCTAGAAATTGATTTTGTCCGTTTCTGAAATAGATTCTAGCGTGGTCAAACAATCCAAATAAAAAATGAAGATACAAGTACTAGTTGGACTTAGAACATTTAAAGAGGAAATGGTTCAAGTACACAGTTTGTTTGACCCTTGATTAATGAAGAAAAACTATGAAGTTTATTCATCAACAACTCATGCAGTAGTTTTGATTGGTATCCACATGAACAAAAAGAAAGCAGGGCAGTCTACATGGGTACATCATGGGTTGCCTAGCTGAAGAAAGATAGTTCATTCCTGACTGCAGCAGGAGATTGAGCCAAAAAGAAAACGGAAGGAAAGAAACTGATCTAGCTGTTGATCTATAGTAGTGAGGCTGCTGCAGCCTGCAATAAAATGAGTTAAATCATTTAGTCAGGACAAGCAGTAAAGCAAAGAAGCTTGGAATCGAAATAAAGCTGCATGCTAGTCCAATTCATTCGTTTTGAGTGAAGACGCAACAGAGCAGAGGCAGCATAAAGAGAGAGATCCCAGGGTGGTCGAAATGCACAGAGACAAAGAGAGTGATCGGACATCCAGGAAGGCAACACGTCACTTTTTGTATGCACTTGCATTTGCATTTGCAAATGCACAAAGAGTACAAAAGAAGATTATAACAGATTCTGGATCCATAGGTCGAAGAGAGCTGAGTGCTTGGCCTTTGCCCTTAGAGAGAGTAACTTTTATCTCTTTTTCGAAGCTGTCTTTCACAGTCTGCAAGCTGGATTGAATATAGCTGAAAATAATTTCATTTCTTGCATTCCAAATGGCCAAGAACTTTGGGAGGGATTGATTTCCGATAGCTTGCACAGTATCTGGGAAAGGAATGTCTTCGCCCAGGTTTATATGGATCAGCAATTTTTTTTTGTGGCAACTGCTCCGGTTCTCCTCCTTTAAAAAAGACAAATCTTAAAGCAGTCAATTAAGCTAATTAATTATTTTTTTATTTATTTGTTGTTTGGGCCACAGTTGGGCTGAACCCGTCCAGCCCAGCCCCGAGTCCAGCTCCCCATCGGCTCTCGCATCCTTTCTTCCGTGCCGCTCCGTTATTTCGTCGAACGAGACGGCGGTGGCCATTACAGAGCTCTATAATCCAGTCATAGTATCGATTATCGTTACAACAAACGAGAAAAAATACGTTCTACACGGTTGATCTACTTGTGATGGATGCATTGCTAGTAGACTATGTTTTACGGGGATAAAAGAGTAAAATGCACCACAGGTACTCAAACTATTGTGTGGTTCCCAAATAGGTACTCGAACTGAAAAACCTACCAACTAGGTACTGGATCTATATTTTTTGTCACCAACGGCACAAGATTAGGCCACGCAGGCAACAACAGCTTAGGTGGACAAGCCACGTAGGCACCAGCATCGCAATCGTCATGGGATTTTTGCTGAAACCCCCCACCGAACATGGCCGGTCACTTCTTGGTCCCTAGGTGCAGTACGGCTGAAACCCCTCCCGTCCCAGAAGTCTCCCGTGCCGGTCTTCTCTCTCTCTCGTATTCTCTCGATACACCGCCGCCGCCCGGCCCTCCCAGTCTTGCCGCCGCCGGCCCCTCCATTCTCGCCGCCCCCCCTCCCCCACAATCTCATCGCCACCCGCCTCCCTCCAGTCTCGCCGCTGCCCGCCTCCCCATATCGCCGCGTGCTCGTGAGGCGTGTGCTCGACGGGGGTCAGATGGGGGCGAGAGTGGCCTCGTGAGGGGCGCAGTCGCCACGCTCCGCGAGCGGCTGCCGCGAGCAGGCCGAGGCCAAGGACGTCGTCGCCATCACAAGAATCAGGTGTGTCTGTGTGCCTCCCTCCATGGACAACAAGATTCTGGTAGTAATAAGGAAAATAAAGTGGTTTGGTTGAAGCCGTGGGAGGTGTGGCGCGGCACGGCACGGCACCATGGCCAGTCGCCGGCGATTGGAAGGGGAACCAGCACCTGTTTATGGTAAGTGCCGCAAACTTGGTGTGGTAGTACATGGATTTGATGCATAGATTGGGTTGTCAGGGCAAAGCACTGAACTTTAGGTTTATCTGAATGTTTAGGGCCTGATGATGACAAGTTCTCTGTGGAAATACATCATGGGGGATTTTTCTGTGGGTCTGGTAAAGATCAAATTTATCTTGATGGCAAGGTTGATTGGTTTTACCATATCAAAGAGAAGTTTGGGCATTTTTTCACAGTTGATGAGATTAGTGTGATGTTAGGTTATGGACTTGACAATGTGGAGGTGTACTGGTTGTTGCCTGAGATGGTTGTGCCTACTGGTTTGAGAATTGTAGACTCAGATGCAGATACACAAATCATGAACCAATTTGCATATAAGATCAAAAACTTTGTGATGTACTTTGATATCTATAATTCATTTGACAAAGACATTGTGTTGAATCCAATTGGTACACTACCCAAAATGTTAAGTCCTAGGAAGGTGCCACCTGAAAGAGATGATGTGGGCAACAACAACAACAGTGACAATGATGGCAGTATAGATGGGTACTTCTTAGACAGTGACTATGAAGTTGATGATGATAGCCTATTCTATGACAATGTTGATGATGGGGTGGTTGATGAGGGTGCAGCCAAGGGCATTGTAGTCAGCAAAGGGAAGAAGAGAAATGCTCCATATGGCAAAGAGAAGATGGCAACGGTTAGGGAATGGGATGAGCTGTCATCTGATGAGGATGAGTTGGAGTTACCAGCTGAGGAAGAGGGCCATGTTGGGATGAATTTGAAGACCTTTAGGCCAGAGGACCTGCAGAACCCTATTTTCAAAATTGGAATGAAGTTTGCATCAGTACAACTGCTAAGAAAGGCTATTACAGAATACAGTATCAAACATAGGGTGGAGATAAAGATGCCATGGAATGACAAGACCAGAATCAAAGCTCATTGTGATGTTGGTTGTCCATGGTACTTGTATGCTTCATTTGATTCTAGGATGGAATGTTTCTTGATCAAATCTTATGATGGTGATCACCATTGTCAGAAGAAATGGGTGCTTAAGAGGTGCACTGCAAAATGGCTAGCTAACAAGTACTTGGACAAGTTTAGGGCTGATGAGAAGATGAGCCTGACCAATTTTGGAAGGATAGTTCAGTTGGAGTTGAACTTGACCCCCTCTAGGATGAAGCTGAGTAGGGCAAGAAGGATGGCATGGAACATCATTTATGGAGATGAAGTGCAGCAATTCAATCTTCTTTGGAACTATGGTCATGAACTCAAATCCAGGTAGTAGCTTCTTTCTGAACTTGCTTGATGGCTACTTCAGTTCACTTTATGTGTCTTTTGATGCTTGTAAGAGGGGTTTCCTCAGTGGATGCAGGCCAGTGATATGTCTAGATGGCTGCCACATCAAGACTAAATTTGGGGGACAGCTACTCACTGCTGTAGGCATAGACCCAAATGATTGTATCTTTCCTATAGCCATGGCAGTGGTAGAGGTAGAGTGTCTAGCATCATGGAAGTGGTTCCTAGAGACACTAAAATAGGATCTTGGCATAGACAACACCACTCCTTGGACCATAATGACAGATAAACAAAAAGGACTAATCCCTGCTGTCCAGCAAGTTTTCCCTGACTCTGAGCATAGGTTCTGTGTTAGGCATCTATACTCAAACTTCCAAGGCCACTTCAAAGGGGAAAACTAGAAGAATGAATTGTGGGCATGTGCTAGAGAAAGTACAGTAACAAGGTGGAGCCAGGAAATGGAGAAAATGAAAGTGCTCAACAAGGATGCCTATGCATGGTTAGAGAAGATGCCACCAAACACTTGGGTTAGAGCCTTTTTCAGTGAGTACCAAAATGTGATATCCTGTTAAACAACACTTGTGAAGTTTTCAACAATTACATCTTGGAAGCTAGAGAACTGCCTATCTTGACCATGATACAGAAGATCAAGTCCCAACTAATGGTCAGGCATTACAATAAACAGAAAGAAGTGACTGAGAAATGGGTAGGAATGGCCATATGCCCAAAGATCAGGAAAAAGTTAGCTAGGCATGCTGATTTCTCCAACACATGCTATCCTATACCAAGTGGGAATGGTATCTTTGAAGTTCATGGCCGAGAGTGGCAGTATGTGGTTGATCTTATGGGCAAAAATTGTGAATGCAGAAGGTGGCAGTTGACAGGCATACCATGCAGCCATGCCATTTCTTGCTTGAAGCATGAAAGAATCCTAGAAGATTCAGTGCTCCCAAATTGTTACTCCATTGATGCATTCAAAAATGCATATGGCTGCAACATATATCCATATTCTGAAAAATCTTCCTAGGAGAATGTTGGAGGTCCAGAAGTGCAGCCACCTAAGTATGAGAAGAGGGTAGGCAGACCACCTAAGGCAAGAAAAAGGGCAGCACATGAAGTTCAAGGTCCTAATGGACCAAGGCTGTCCAAACATGGAGTAATCATGCACTGCAACCATTGTGGACAAACTGGTCATAACTCAGTTAGGCCTACCAGCTATTAAGAAAACAAAAAAACCAACTAGAACTGCTACTACAACTACAACTGAGCTAGAAAAACAACCAAGTTATGAGGTGAGTCATTCCCAGGTATGTGCACAGCCACAACCATACATTTTACATGTGCAAATGTAACTATCTAACTTTATTATTGGTTTAGGAGGTGACTAACCTAGTTGAGGTACCAGTAATGTCCCAAGTAGAGAACCCCATGCTGTCACAACTACTAGATGAGGTACCAGTAATGTTCATTTCAGTTTCAGTCACAACCATTTATTACTGGCATATCACAAAACTGATGTAACCTATTGTATTCAGGCTTCACAGAACATGAGGCACATTCCATCTACTTCACCATTGCCAGACTCTACCTACATCATTTCCAACCTCCCACCAGCAAGGCATACTCCACTTACAACAGCAACAAAGACTGGAAGGACCTCAAGGACCAAGATAGTGAAGAACAACGGTGCTGCCCCTAGTAAGAAGATAGGTAAGACCAAGAGAGGTCAATCTGGACAGTAGGATAGCCCAGACAACACTTTAGGTAGTCTTTTGTGCAGGAAATATAGTTGCCTTTTGTCCAGCAACTATACATTGCCTTTTGTCCAGCAACTATAGTTGCCTTTTGTGTAGTGATCTCATATAGGTATAGATCATTTGCAGCAACTTGCTGTTTTCTTAGCATATGTAATGGAAGCAACAAAACAATTCCTGGTTTGCTGATGACATCTTGGCTGTAATGACCACAACTATGGAAATAAATGGTTTCTCAGTCAATATATGTCACTGTGAATGGATGGATGGTTCGGATGGTGTGTTCTCTTAGCATATAAAATGGGACCTGTGAATGTGAATGAATGGTTAGGCTGGGTGGTTTTCTTAGCATATGTAATGAACTATGAATGTGAATGGATAGTTTGGCTGGGGGTTTTTAGCAAAATGGGCGTCCAGGGTGGCTTGGACATGAGCTGATGTTGCCTACGTGGCCAAGTTAGTACTGCTGGTGACCAAAAAAATAGATCCAGTACCTAGTAGGTAGGTTTTTCAGTTCAAGTACCTATTTGGGAACCACACAATAGTTTGAGTACCTATGGTGCATTTTACTCGGGATAAAAAGCTGCTTCCTCGGCCCTCACGCGCCGCCCGTCGAGAAGGTCTTCATGAATGGCATGAATTGGCCTGCCTTAGAGGAGTTGATGCAGTCGCTACCGAAGCAATAGATCAAATCGGATTGAATGGAAGGGCTCACCGCGCCTCCACGCTTGACCCGCTCGGTGGTGACCGCAGTTGTCGCCGCCGCCGCCGAACCTCCTTGCCAGCTGCCAGCACACCAGCACACGATGAAATAGGATTGGGGACGACCGGACAAGGGGGAACGAGGTGCCGCACTTGGCTCGGTCCGCCGGCCGCCGCTACTCGAAATGGCCGTCGCAGGTGATCGGAGGAGGGGTTGGAGGTGCTGCCTTCCGCCGGCTTCCAGACGGACTTGTCCGCAGAAATAGAAACGGCGGTGTATTCGCCCACCACCGAACAAGAAAGGATCGAGACCTGCACACGTGACTTTCCCTCTGGCTCGGGCAGGGCTCGGGCTAGGCCCATATGCGGGACCCAAGTGCAAAAATAATAAAAAGTAATAATTCTTTAAACTTGTTGCTTCAAGACGTGCAGAGTTTTTATAATGGTAATGTTAGGAATAGAGCGTCCGTCTGCCTAGACAGTGCTGATGGTGGGCCACGACGCAGCCCAATGACTGTCTCTTATGTTCTCATCCACTCGCCCCCAACCCTTCTAAAAAAGAAAAAACTCACCTCACCGCAGCGTCATGATAGCTCTCCGCAACTGTGCTCCGCCTTGCAGCCTCGGCGACGGCGTTCACCACCGCGCTTCCCTCTCCACCACGCCTCCGCTCCATCGGCCAAAATCTCCTCCGCGCTAGAACACGGAAGCCCATCTTCCTTCCCTCTCCACCGTGCCTCCTGCCCGCCTCGGCCTTCTCTAGCGCGCGGACCCGCCGCAAGCTTCTCCACAGGACCTGCCGCGGCCTTCTCCACCTGTGAGCTCTACACCCGTGAATACCACGCGCCGACGAGCCTCCATTTCCAGGCAGCAAGAAAATGTTGCAAGTGTTTCATATGGATGTTGCAAAAGTTTAAGTGATTATTGCATATGCTACAAGTGTTTCCGAGGCATGTTGCAAGATTTTGTTAAAAGTGTTTCATCTGTTTTAGACGTATGTTGCAAGTGTTTTAATCTAGATGTGCCATATGTTTTACATATATGTTGTAAGAGTATGTTCCAAATGTTTAAGTTGTTTTATTCTTATGTTGCAGTAAGTGTTTTCATGTTACAAATGTTTTATCTGGATGTTGCATATGTTTGACACATATGTTGCAAGTGTATGTTCTAAATGTTTCGTCTGCTTCAGACTTATGTTGCATTCAAGTATTTCATGTTGCAAGTGTTTCGTGTTTCAGACGTATGTTCAGAGAGTCATGGGGAACGACTCGAGTGCTAGGGAAGGGGCTCGGCGAGCTGGGGGCAGTTGATGGGGCGCACGGTGCGCCAGAGTCCCTGTGGGACGGGCGTGCTTGTTCTCATCCGGTCTCCCAGGCCCCGCTCGTGTGGAGAGAGAGGAGGGGGTTTGGGAGAAGGAGTGGCGAGCGTAGCCGGGGTGCGTGTGCGGGGCAAGGCGAGGCAGACAGGGGCTAGGTACGCATGCGGGCGGGCCGAGGTAGACGGGGGACGGACGTGCGCCTGCATCATCGATATGGTGCAGCGGCAGGCGCGGGCGGGGTCAGCAGCATGCGCAGGGTGTCTGGATGCGTTTATCTATTCTAGACGTTCGGGCGCTAGTAATTTCCATTTTAGAAAGAGTAGTACTGGTGCAGTTTTTTTTTTTTGCGAGAGAGCTGATGATGAATAAGTGATTCTTTTTTAAAAGGAAATAGTCAAATCGTTCGTGTATCAGACTTCACATGGTATGTATAGTTAGGTGAGGGTTTGCGCTGATGAACAACACGAACAAAATGAAATTTCAGGCAGATGGGTGTGCCGACGAAGAAAAAAAAAAGACAAGGGAACGTGGAGCGGGTGTATTGTACTGATGTGGCCTTCTTGTGGCTAGTACGATGAACACTGTATTGAAATATTCTGTCAGGTGGAAAACAAAAGCAGCAGCACTAGCCTCAGGTACACACCTATGCCGTGTTTGTCAGCCTGACCGGCAGCCAAACACCACCAGTGTGGGAACCAGAAATTTCAAGAAGGGAGAGATGCTAGACATGGTCGATCTCATCAAAATATATTCTGTATTTTTAAAATGGACTTGCTAGTGCCCGGACATCCAGTCCGGATGCTGCCTGCACCGGAAGCGAGCGAGCGCCTAGTGCGTCGGGCTCGCGAACGAGTGCACCAACAGTGGGCCCACGCCGCCCCAGATGTCACCCACGCCGCCCAGGACATTGTCCGCGATGCCGGCTGCTTCCCACGTGCATCCAACGTGCAACACCCTGATCTACCTTTGAAACATACAGATGCAACAGTTGCAACACACAAAAGAATACAGATGAAGCACTTGAAACAAGCATCTAAAACACTTGCAAAAACGCCTAAAAAACAGTTGGAAACCATTGTAAATATATGCAACATCCAGATAAGACACTTGCAAACATACGTATAAAACACCTGAAAACACTTGAAACATATGATTGCAACATGTATGTATATGCAACATCAAGAGAAAACACTTGCAACATGTAGAGAAAACACTTGCAACATTCGTCTGGAACAGATGAAATATTTGGAACATACACTTGAAACATACGTGTATAGCCAACACAACATGTGCAGCATCTCGATATACTTTTGCAACATCCGTACAAAAAACTTGAAACATACATCTGAAATAATTAAAATATAGGCTTGCAACATGTCTGAAAATGCCTAGAAACACTTGAAAAACACAGCGTTGTCTGTGGCTGCGGCCTACCTGGTGGGGAACTGCGATGGCGTAGGCCTCTCCTTTCTACTGACACGCTAGGTGGACGGGGGCACAGGCGCAGACACAGGCCTCCCCTGCCTTCCCTTCCGCAATGGGCGAGGTGGATGGAGGCACGACGTTGGATGGTGGTGCGGCGCGGGCGCGCGGAGCAGCGAGGGAAGGGGCCGGGTGCCTTGCGGGAAGGAGCAGCGTGGGAAGGGCCAGGCACGCGGAGAGATGCCAAAGCAGACGCTTCATGCCGGGGAGGGAGCGGGGAAGAGAGAGTGCCCTACTGCGGGACCTTAAAAGTGGGGTCGGCCTGAGGTGCGGTGCGGTGAGGGGCTTGGAGCAGCTGAGGAGGACACCACAACCTGAGTGGGAAATTTTTCTTTTTTTTTATTTAGAGACTGGTCCGTTGAAGCACAGGAGGGAAGTAGGACTAGAGCTGTGTCCGACGGGATGGACGCCCGTGGCTAAGCGTTTCCGTTTTTATATGGACTGTAATGACGACTTTAAGATTCTCAAAGGCAACTGGTATGAAACAGGAGAAAAAGTTAGCATTTGCTCGGTAGGAGGCAGTAAGATTAGAATTGCATCCACTCTATTGCTTATGTATCTCCTTTGGAGTCTAAAAGGGATTAAAAGTTTTGACTGGCGTTAGGGGGCGCCAACCCCCCACCCCCCGCGCCCGCCCGCCCGCCCGCCCGCCCCATCCTGCCCTGCCCTGCCATGCTCGGCCTCGCTGAAGAAGTTCGGAGAATCGTGCAAAGAGGAGCGAGGAGAGAGAGACCCTAAAATAATAGCTACGCTAGCTCCTAGATTTCCACAGTGGGCTAAGGCTTCGAACACTAGATGGTCTAGTTAGTTCAAAATTCATAGATGGGAGGGCAAAAGTCTAGTGAATGCAAAAGAAGAAGGACGCCCGACTATTCGATGAAGTAAACAGGGAACACGATTACACGAACTGAAACAATTCGAGTGCTTTGATCAGAACTTAACCAATGAAGTCTGATTGAGATGAGATTTTAAGTGAAGTCTTGCCACATCATGCGCATCCCATCTCAACAACAAACTCTCAAAAAGATCGATCAAGGATTTAAACACTAATTTCAGAAAAACATGAAACACCAGTATTCAATGGTATTTAGTTGAAGACCCAAAAATTTTTACAACAAATTTTATATAATCATATATGTACATTATAGAAAAGAGAAAATAAAACCGAAATATTTTTTTAGTGGAATAAAACCAAAATGAATACCTATGGAGCATTCATCAGCACAAAACAATCCTCGTTCGCTTCGCTGAAAAAACAAGCCGAAACACTGTTCTGGCTGATTTGTTGTGAGAGAAAAACATTATTCTGACTGAAAAAACAAGATGAAAAATACAGATTATAAGATAAGCGAACATGGCTCCATGACCTCCAACCCGAAGGTCCAATAAGGCCTACAGTGGCCAGCGGCCCAAATTCTCTCCTCACTGTGGATGAGAATGCGGGACAGGTCATGACAACAAAAATAATAAAAAAAAGTTAGCCCACATGCGTGCCAGTCAGGCCACCAGCCCACTCACGCGCGAGTATCTGCAGCAGGCCGCCTAAACTTTTTTTCATTTTTTTTATAGGAGGTGGTCGCCTAAACTTTGGTTGAGAATAGCAATTGTGGGGGAAAGAAAACCCTCTGTCCCCGCCGCCGGTCTTGTTTGTCCTCGGTTCGATTCCATAGAAAACCCTTACTGACCACTGCTGGACCGCATCAAAAACTCAATCAATTGGAAACAGTGGAGATTGGATCAGCGGCTCTTCGACGGCCGCCCACGCACGCAGAGATCTTATGTCAGAGTTGTGCAGATCCAAACTTACGGAGGGAAGAAGAAAAGGTGGAAGAAGAAGGGATGGAACTCTTCAGAGCTAGTAAGGGCGCACTGCGAAGATTTGATAGTAGGATATTGACAGTCTGTGCTGAACGTGGGGAAATGTTCAGGAGGAACGGTCAAATCCCGACGCCACCACAGATTGAGTTAGTCGATTATCCAGTTTTTTTTTTTTTTTTAATTTTGCTGCGTGCCTGCCTTGCCTGCCTTTGTGTGCTCCTCAGAGTTGTTGACTATATCCACAACTACAGTACTGATGTGAGCCTAACTTGCGATTGTTGGCTGTTTGTGTGTCTGGTACGCATGCATGCAGATTTTTTCGAGAGAGCTTGGGGATGGGATTCCTTACTTCCAGCCTATCGGTTACTCCTTTGCCGCTATACAAGATATACCTCCGGCAATATTACATCCGCAATCATGAACAGGAAGCCAATGCTGCTGCTGGTGCCGATCTCGGTCTTGATGGAGATGACGATCATGGGAATGGCCTGGCAGCTCTGGTTCACTCGGTAGCTTCCTGCCTGCAGCCACCTTGTTGTCCTGTTTAATTAGTTTCTAAGTTTCCTAGCTTGATCTTCTGATTAGCTAGTTTATATGCTCACAACATTTGCCAACTCATGCATGTTTCCAAGTGTATCGCGATGGAGGATCATCTTATATTTCTGTGGAACCGCCGTGCTAAGGGCATGTTTGGTTCCTTCCCCTCCTCCTAAAATTTCTGTCACATTGAATGTTTGGACATATGTATGGAGTATTAAATATAGATTAATTACGAAACTAATTGCACAACTTGTGACTAATTTACGAGACGAATCTTTTAAGCCTAATTAGTTCATGATGAGATGGAGATCCCACTGGTGAGTGGCAACGTCACCAAGCGCGCTCGTGAAATGGCTCGAATTTTGGGATCTGAATTTCCTGCCGCTGCTATTGCCCTTAAGGTATATATGTTGGCATCCCTATCCCGACCTTTAACATACCAAAGCAAAGCAAACCCTCCTTAATTTGAAATTATATTCATCAATAATGTTTGTAAATTCACTCCCTTGCATTGTGCCGACTGTTGCAAAGGGTTCAAAATTTCGGCGAAATTTCGGCCGAATTTCATGAAATTCGGTAATTTCGGTGGTGGCCGAAAGAAAACTCCAAAATTTTTTAATACATTAATACATGTGCTATATAACTCTAATCTTATATTTTTCTATTGTTTATATTACATATTCTTCTATTTAATAGATATGTAGTCATAAATCATACTAATATTTGTTTAGATCCAAATTTTTTTAGAAAAAAACATACTTTATGTGCTAATCTCTAAAAAAATTTCGGCGAAATTTCGGCCGAATTTCGCGAAATTCGGTAATTTCGGTGGTGGCCGAAATTTTGACGATACCGAAATTAAAAACCTAATGCAAACCATGTTTAATTTCAAGTTTATCACCAAAGAGGCTGAACTGATGTGCCAGTGTATTATTTCTGGGGATTCCGTCGTGTCCTTCACTGTAAGCAATGCTGTCCGGCGGTGTGCCTTGAGCTTTATGACCTGCAAAGATTATGCTCCTGCCGCTGCTGCCATGATGGTACATGCCTTGACTCCACCAAAACAATCTGTGACCAAGCTACTTAATCTTCAGTATTAATCCCGTGATGTTTATGAATGTCTTGTTGTTGCTTGCAATATAACTTTTAGGGCATCATGAAAGAGGCTGAGTCGGCGATTGGTTTGCTGAGGGGAGATCAAGAGAAAAACAATGCAAAGATAGCCTGCACCGATCGTGTCCGGCATTGTACCTTGTTAATTATGTTGGAGTTGTGTGATGAATGTTCTGCCGTTCCAGAGCCTACTGTGTATGACCTAGTAACATATTATTCCTGTCATTGCACACATATTTCTCGATTATCATAATATATACATGACAAGTATTCCATACAGATAGCAAACTGAGCGCAGTGGTGTGGCTAGATGTGGCTGTGCCCACCGACCTGGGTTCAAATCCTGGTATTCTACCCAAAAACAACCCCCTCTTTGGCTTGTGGCTATGGTGCATCGCCGGCCCAGGTAAAGGTGCGCTGCACCGGCCTGGGTAACGGTGTTCGCTGGCCCAAGTTCGTCCCTAACAGGCATAGGCTAGGGTCCGGGGGATTTCTTGACCAGGACCATACAGTCCCTTCTAAATTACACAATACCATGGTGGTGGCTCTTCTCCCCACCAGTTGAGTTTTTTTAGTATTCCATACATATTCTTTTCATCGGTGCAAGGTATAATGATGTATTTTTCTGCTCTACTATCACCAGGTGTGACATTACTGGAGATTTGAATTCCAATGAATCAGATAATAAACTGGCTGATAATGGCAATCATGAGGAAAGGGGCAATGTAAGTGAAAATAAGGTATGTTCTACACTGAAATTGGGCGGCTAGCTCAAGTAAGTTGGTATCTGTTTAACTCATTACTAATAAGCATTGTATGATGAATCCGATGAAAAGAACTCCAAGAAGGAACTAGCAAGAAATGAGATGGATGAAAGCAATAGGACAGATGAAAATCAGGTATAGTCTACACTGAAAATTGGGCGGCTAGCTCAAACAAATTGGTGCCTTTGTGTTCTGCTCATGGAGCTCCTTACTGATATGCATTGAATTATGATGAATCAATGTCAAGAACCCCAATGAGAAACTAGGAAGAAACAGCCTGGAGGAGGGCAAGGTTAAGTGCTTTATGCTTCTGTGGAATTTGTTACTAACATGTATATTGGATTATGAAGCATCTGACAGCAAGGGCCTTTTTTGAAGGCTGGTACAGAAAAACAAGTTGACCTGGTGGGAAGCAGCAATAATGAGGGCTATAGTTCCACTTCTAAGAAGGTAGACATTTCAAAAAAAAAAAAAAATTGTGCACCTTGGCTAAATTTGTTAGTGTCTTTTTATGTTCTTCATGGAATTCCTTGCTAACACAAAATATTGTTTTAGCTGAAAGATGTGTTGAAAGATCAGCACAGTCCCCTGGTTGGAAAAGCTCGTGGGCACAAAAAGGTTTGTCTCTGTGAGTTTGAGCATCCTGGCATACTCTTTTGCTCTGCCTAACTAAATTCTATTACCATATTACTATCTTTTAAGTGATCTTGGTCTGATGACAAACATGTGCTATCCCTTTGATAAAATAAAATGAACACAGAACACTAACACCCCCCCCCTCTCTCTTCTCCTGTTAGGGTTGCCTTGGCCCTTTTGTACCTGGTTTTCACGTGTCTTGTTACCCGATGACATGGTTAAATGTTTTTTTTCTCTTTTTTTTGAACAGTGGATTTCAGGATGCTTTAATTTGGCGAAACCAGGAGGGAACGCGAATGGAACAGCAAACTAATGAATAATGATGTTGTATTCTCATCTAATAGATGAACTCTCACTACGTAAAAAACGATTTTTAGCAACGGTTCGATTTTTTTGTAGGGGTGGCTGGTGATGGAGCCGCCCCTACAGTGACGTGCTCGGGTGCGCAGACACCAGCCGCCCCTACAAATAGAACAGCAGGGGCGGCTGGTGTTACGAGCCACCCCTATAAATGGGGTCTGATTTGTAGGGGCGGCTCAATCACCAGCCGCCCCTGAAAATGCTATTTGTAGGGGCGGCTGGTGATTGAGCCGCCCCTACAAATGGCCCCGTATTTATAGCTCCGATTTGTAGGGGCGGCTCAATCACCAGCCGCCCCTACAAATGTCCCCCATATAAAACAGATGCAACACCTTCTTCCTCCTCGGGTCACTCACTCCAACCCGTGAAAGAAAGGTGGGGAGGCCTTGGACACGTCCCAAAAATTGTTGTACTAAGGGGGGAAGGTTTTGGTCTCAAATCCTTTAGTGGAGAGGTTGTAGAAGGTAAGAAAATGCTATTCCATATTTTTTTTGAAGTTTTAATGGTTGGTTAGTGAGTAATTAGAGTTTTGTTTTTCTCTCTCTTCTATGGTGCTTGAGCTATTTATGAAGCAAATTAGACCCAACTTTTAAATATACTAGGATAAATTGGGGTGGGAAACAAGATCATACCCTTATTTGGTTCATGTTTCTTGATTTTAGTGAACAATTAGTTAGTTTTATGGATGTTTCATGTGCATGTGGATCTAGATCTAGGGTTTGGTTTTTTTATTAATTTCGTTTTTGTAAATTTATGTTTGATGAAATTGGACTAGGGTTTGTATGAAAGATATTGGGTAAAGTATAATTGTTGCTAATTGTTGTCTTTGAAATTATTTATTGTAATCAATAAATATGTATTTTAATTATTTATGGATAAATGGGCCATTAATTAATTTTCTTTTACCATGGTGTGTTTGTATGCTTCATATAATTATATTAGATTTATATTCATATATATCTGAAGTATATACAATTATTCTCAAGTAATTATTAATTTGTTTCATTTTTATATATATCTGAATAAGTAGTCCTTTAATGTTTGTTTTCTTGTTGTTGTAAAAGATGGAGTACATGAACTCTTGGATGTATGGTTCGTTAAGGTTCAAGGCAGGTTTCTGTGAAGAGGTGGATAAATTTATTGAAGCCGCAAAGAAGCATGCAACGACATTGAAAGAGAATAAGGATACAATTATGTACCCATGTAAAGATTGCAAGAACCGTATGGCATAGATAGATGTGACTATCATCAGATCACATTTGATTATGCGAGGATTTGTTGAGGACTACACAGTGTGGATTCATCATGGTGAAACGGTTATTGTTAACGACGAGGATGAGGAGGAATACGACGACGAAACCATAGAATCCCTGTCCCAATATTTAGCATAGCTTGATGCACGAATGGATTTCGAGTTTGGCAATGAACAAGGTGGTGATGCTGGTGGTTGGGATGGTAACGACGAAGGTGGTGCCAATAATGATGGTGGAGCACGTGTCGGGGATGAAGATGATTTGGAGGATATGATTCGAGCCCTTGGACCTGAGATTTTACTAAATAGCCCGAAAGGTCTAGAAAATTTGGAAAGGGTGACAAAAGCATCGAAGGAGACTGTGTATGGTGTTGAAAAGGGTTGTCCGACACATTGGACATTGCTACGTTTTGTGCTTGAGCTGCTCATCCTGAAGGCTAAGTACGGCTGGTCAGACTATAGTTTCAATGATCTATTGTATCTCCTGTCATGGGTGCTGCCACAACCAAACTCAGTTCCCACCAACACATACCAAACGAAGAAGGTCATAAGTCCATTGACAATGGGGGTTAAAAAAAATCCATGTATGCCCCAACCACTGTATACTTTTTCGTGGCGAAACGTTCAAGTCACTAGATAAATGTCCCTAGTGTGGGGCCAGCCGGTACAAGAACAATGACATTTACGGTGGGGACGAACCCTCCATGGGGAAAAAGAGGAATAAGAAGGGTACCAAAAAGGTGGTACAAGAATCTCAGCCCCCAAAGGACACTCCATTAGGCAACGATGCAAAGCAGAGAAGAATTCCTGCCCTAGTAATGTGGTACCTGCCAGTGACCGACCGCTTGAGACATATCTTCCTAAACCCTAAAGAAGTCGCACTCATGACATGGTGGGATGATGAGCGTAAGGTGGATGATGATAAAATTGCACACCCGGCTAATTATAGTCAGTGGCAAAAGTTTGATGAGAAGCACAAAGAATTCAGCGATGACCCAAGAAATGTACGGTTTGGCTTGAGTACCAATGGAATGAATCCCTTCAATGAGAGGATGAGCGACCACAGCACATGGCCAGTGATCTTGACCATGTACAACATCCCCACATGGTTGTGTCAAAAGAGAAAGTATCTTCTCCTCACTATTCTTATTTCTGGCCCTAAACAACCAAGCATTGATATAGACGTGTTCCTCGAGCCCTTGATGCAAGAAATGGAGAGGCTATGGAGGCATGGGGAGCAGATGTACGATGCGTTCCAAAAAGGAGGACTTCATATATAGAGCAATAATATTTATTACTACCAATGATTACCCCACGCTGTTTGCTTTGTCTGGACAGATCAAAGGGAAGACGGGATGCTTGGTTTGCTTGGATGGTACTATATGGGTGTACCTGGATGCATCCAAGAAGATAGTTTACCTAAGAAACCGACGCTTCTTAAAGACAAGTCACAAGTACCGCAACAAATTGTTCTTTAGATTTTATGACAACGCCCCGGAGATTGAACCCCCTCCGGAGAGATGTCATAACAGAGAACACGTGTACAGAATGGTGAAAAACATACGCGTCGTCTATGGAAAGAAGAATCCGGATGGGACGAACAGAGATAGAAGCACACCTCCTGTCGAAGGCGTACCTTTCAAGAAACAATCGATCTTCTTTCAGTATCTGCCTTATTGGCCAGACATGGAGGTCCCCCATGCCATTGATGCTATGCACGTGCAGAAGAATGTCTTTGAGAGTCTCATTGCTACCTTGATGGACACAGGCAAGTCAAAGGATGGTCTGAAAGCACGGAAAGATATGGTGCAGCTAAACGTGATGCCACAGCTTCACCTGGTACCTGAGGCTAATGGAAAATACACTCTGCCTGCGGCGTGCTTCAACCTAACTCCAGACGAGAAGAGAGCTATATGCACTTTCCTGAGAGGGGTCAAAGTCCTGACTGGGTTTTCAGCAAATGTGAAGAAGCTAGTGTCGATGAAGGACATGTCAATAACACACTGCAAGGCTCATGATTGCCATGTGATGCTGACAGTATTTCTACCTATTGCAATCAGGGCTATAAAGCCAGAGTTCTTGAAAATGGCCATCACCCGCATGTGCTACTTCTTTTCGAAGATCTCACAAAAGACAATTGGCAAGGAAGAGCTGAGTGACCTACATGAATTTGTGGTGGAGACACAAAACCAACTAGAGATGTGTTTACCTCCTGCTTTTTTTGATATAATGCCACATCTCATGATTCACATGGTTCATCAAATACAGGCGCTTGGCCCTTGCTACTTGCATGAAATGTGGTCCTACGAGCGGTTCATGTCGGTTCTAAGTCGATACGTGCATAATCGAGCATACCCAGAGGGCTCCATGATAGAGGGTTACAGTACTGAAGAAGTCGTCGAGTGCTGTCAAGAGTACCTAAAAGTACAGAAAGAGATTGGTAAACCCGATTCTCGTCACAAGGGTAGGCTGGCTGGGAAGGACACCAGTGGTAGAAAAGTGTTTATCGACCATGATTACAAAGAGGTGAGTTGGGCGCACTACAGTGTCTTGCAGAGTACACAACTGATGTAACCATATATTGATGAACACTTGGCTATCATTATGGCGGAGAGAAATGGCCGTTCGGATGATTGGGTCATGAAACAACACAAGCAAAGTGCCTTAGGTCAATGATGTTAAATTTTTAGGCGCAGGAGGAGAACCCTTAGGTGCGGCAGCCACACCTTACTTACGATTGTTGTCTGCAATTTTTGCTAGCTAATAATCAGTACACCCCCTCAGTGCATCCTCCCTGTCTAATTAGCACTATTTCCTAATGGTATCTGTGGACTGATTAGTAGCTTTGATGAGAACTTGGGTTATTAATTGAGACCTAAGGCACTTTGCAATGATGTTTCTATACATTCTTAATAGTATTATTTCCCATCTGTGAATTGTTGGTACTCGTTTCCTGCCATTTGCAACAGCTCATTAGCTCATTAATCCTAGTTGTTCTTTCATTGTATGCTTGCAGCCTTGCACTTGTTTGTTTAATTAGTGGGACTTCGATTCATCCAGTTTCATTTTTTTGGGAATAAATATCTGCTGAGTAGAAATAATCCTTGCATTTATATTATTCTTCTTACATTGTCATTTGTATGCTTGAAGCCTTGCACTTGTTTGTTTATATTATTGTGGCCGGTGGCTACTAATCTTCTCTGTACTTGCTGTCTTCTCTGTACTCCTCTTCTGATTAGCAGCTATTGTTTTTTTTGCTACTTCTACTACTTCTGATTGTCCGATCTGCTTATCAGGTTCGGAAGATATTAAGCATATGATGTTCTTACATTGTCATGTTGCTTTTTCTGGGAGGCAACACCTGCTTTTTTTTTGCCAAATCTCCCCTCTCCTCTATTTGTTGCCACCTTTCCTATCCTCT